AAGTGGGAGAACTTGCACAATTGGTGGCTGACTAAATACTTTTTTGCCCCACTGTATGCTACCATATGTTATGTTTGACAATTTTTATTAATATGGTTCATAAGCTTCCATGTTATAAATTGTTCATTGCGGGAAGTAGAAGCAATATCTATGGTTTGTTATGCCTCAGTGCTTAATATTTGACATCACAGTGGAATTTATTCAGTGAATAATAATTTAAATCCAAAATCTACAGAAGAGAATACTAATTTGGTAATATTTGGGATTTTATTACTTTATGGAAGAGTTTTCAGTTTTTCTGCTAAAATGTCTGTAATCTGATGATAAGTATCAGAAAACATTTTGAAGACATGTAGAACAGTATTGGCTATATAACATCAAGGAAAATAATTTGACAGACTTTCAACTCAATTTTTTTCCTCTTTATCAACAGGGAAAAGTACATCTCGAATTAAAACTAAATGAACTGATTACAGATAATGGATCTGTGTGCCAGCAGCTAGTAGTACAGTAAGGATATTTATTAATTCTTTTCAAAAAAATGGTTTGCTTATGGAAACTAAATAGATAAATTAAAACTTTTGGTACTGAAACGTTATCTATAAGTAACTAAGAAAATCTCCAAGTATAAAATCCAAGCCCTTGGATTTTACTTTTGTTTAATAATAACTGCATTCCTAAAACAACTTATAATTCAGTTTTCTAAGCTTGGGAAAACATCTACTTTTTCCAGCCTTGTTTTGAGAATTTTGGTACCTAACATGAGATCTGTCAGTTTTCACTTGCTTTCTCCAACCAGAAATTTCATATTTGGGGGATAAGAGAAGATACAATTAAAGCAAGCTTTGTATACCTAATCTTTAAGGTCCCAATATTTGCGCATGTTTGAAATTTTCATTTCCTGTCAGTTACATAAAATTTTATAACTTCATCTGAAAATCTAATGTGATTTGGGAATAGTACTTGAGTACCAAAACCGTAAAGTGGGGCTGTTTCTTACCTCTAGCCAGTTCTTGCCCTCTTCCATATCTTTTGCCCTCAAAGCTAAGTTTAAGCAGTTTTCAGATGCTGGAACTGGAGAGTACTGTGCACATGTGACAAAAAATTGTGTTGAATACAATCATGTGAAGTAATAAATGTAGTTGCAATTGTCACAGAACCACCATCAGCATGAACTTCAAAGTTCCATAAGTTGCTAGTCAGAATTACTTTAAATCCTAGAACCTAATGATAAGCTAGTATCTTATTTTACATCCATGAGCACTAAGAAAGTTTGCCTAGTCACTAGTGCTTGCTTCAACCCACTGAGTAGCCTGTAGATTCAATAGTTATTCTTGAGGGAATATGCTCCTTAGGTAAAGTAATTTAACTGGGAAATGCATATAAAAGCTGTAGCTGGCAACGAAATAAACCAGAAGCCCATTTTTACAAAGATAGAAAATGAAGAACCAAGCTGAAATTCAAAAATTATTTAGGAGGGTAACTGAAGCATGCTAAATTATGTATCTTTCATACCTGGAAGAGAAAAATGAACAAAAGGAGGGGAGAAATTAAACAAGATGACATCCTCTCATCTTAATTCCATTTTTGTACTCTCCCTCCCCCACTGCAGAAGTATCGTTGTGTATGCAAGCAAAAAGCAGATGCACATACAAGCTGGATTCACATAAAACCCCTAATCTTGGATTGGTAAATCACAATTGCTGTGGCTTAATAGCTTAATATAATGTCCTGGTTTACTCGGTGTAAACTACCTACCTCCAGCTTGGTCTCAGCTGATATTTTGTGCTAATCATTAATAAGAAAAAAATAGTAACTGACAGACATCCTGAGGGGAGTCTGTCACCATTTTTAATTAAGAAACATATTGCAAACTTTCATGATGACAAGCATTCTACTCTGTGTTGGTCCTTATTTTTTGTACTGTATCACTTTTATGAAGGGAATTATTTGGACAGGAGATGTGATTCAGATTGTTCCATTCTCAAGATCTTCCTTTTATTGTTGTTGGGCTGAATGGTCACAAGCTTGTTCTTAAGCCAAATCTTACCTGTAAAAGCTTGATTTTTAGTAATTTTATCTCTATTGCTACTGACTGTATTGGGCTTGCACTTACTTAGTCTGACTTACCTGATTAATTGGAAAAGGGATAAAGACACATCAGGCAATCACTAAGTTAAATCATGAAATTGGTGAAATTATTTCTGGTTTGGGACTTCTATAGCTTTAAGATAAGCTTCTAATATTCTCTTCTACCTTGATAAAATCACTGTTTATATACCACTAACAATTAGTATCCAGGTAGGCCATTCATAAGGGGGACGTGGTGGCGCAGCGGCTTAATGACGCTGAAAG